CGACTGCCCCCACTGCCCCCACTTCTACGATGGCTCCTGCCCCCACAACAACAACGACTGCCCCCACGGTTCCCACTTCTACGATGGCTTCTACCACTACCACTCCGGCTGCCACCACGGCTGCCAACACCACGACTACCACCACCACGGCTTCCACCACCACGGCTTCCACCACCACGGCTGCCAACGTGACCACTACCACGGCTGCTGCCACCACGACTACTACGGCTGCCACCACCCCGGCTGCCAACGTGACCACTACCACGGCTGCTGCCACCACGACTACTACGGCTGCCACCACCCCGGCCGCCAACGTGACCACTACCACGGCTGCTGCCACCACGACTACTACGGCTTCCACCACCACGGCTGCCAACGTGACCACTACCACGGCTGCTGCCACCACGACTACTACGGCTGCCACCACCACGGCTGCCAACGTGACCACTACCACGGCTGCTGCCACCACGACTACTACGGCTGCCACCACCCCGGCCGCCAACGTGACCACTACCACGGCTGCTGCCACCACGACTACTACGGCTGCCACCACCCCGGCCGCCAACGTGACCACTACCACGGCTGCTGCCACCACGACTACTACGGCTGCCACCACCACAGCTTCCAACGTGACCACCACCCCAGCTGCCAACGTGACCACTACCCCGGCCGCCAACGTGACCACTACCCCGGCCGCCAACGTGACCACTACCCCGGCCGCCAACGTGACCACTACCCCAGCTGCCAACGTGACCACTAGCCCGGCCGCCAACGTGACCACTACCCCGGCTGCCAACGTGACCACTACCCCAGCTGCCAACATGACCACCACGACCACCGTGCCAATTTCGACGACCACTGGGGTGCCCAACTCTCCTACCGTGGTTTTTGAAGGAACAGTGGGCATTAAGTTTGTTGATTTTTTGATGTACGAAGCGTATGACGATAGTACGCCGCTAGTGTTCTGCAACCCCAACTCAACTTCTGCCATGGGCCAGCCCTGCACATTTTTTGGCCAATGGGTGGTGAGCAACACGTCCACCCAGATGGGAGCCGACCAGACTTTTAACATTACCCTGCAGTGGACCGCGGAGGGGGGTATGAATGGCACCATGCCAAACCAACTCATTTTCGTTTACAGCGGCGCCAACCCCCAACGCCTCGTCTCCATCGTCTACTCTGAGTTTTACGGCTTGACGGGCGAAATGTATACCTTTGTGGCGAGTGACTCGGTCGCAGCCAGCACTGACAAGATCAGCCCCGATCAAGCTCTTAGCTGCATGTCAGCCACCCTCCCCTCAACCCGAAAGGCTGAAAACGAGACCATCTGGGCCAAGATGGTCTTTAGTGAATTCGAGGCTCAAGGTGATGTCAATGGCTCATTCTCGGACAAGACTGTGCCGTGTGTGGATTTTCCCACCCCTGAACCCCCGACGCAGCCACCGGCACCGTACCCAACCACCCCCGGCCCGGTCCCGACCACGGGCCCGACCGCATCCCCTACTCCCGGCAAGTCAACCAAGAAAAAGCCAATGGGCACTGGTGCCATCGCCGGCATCTCCATCGGTACGTCCTTTTGTTGCTCTACGCTTCGTTGATCCAAGCATCACCAATGTGACGCTTGGTCATGTTTTATTTTCCTCACGTGTGCTCCATGGATGTGGCTGTACCTCAGTGTGCCTGGTAATTGGCGGTGGTGCCATCGCCTTTGCCATGCGCTGGCGTTTGCGTCGCAACCGCTTGGCTGAGTACGGTGTCATTGACAACCAGCCTGATGAGGTGAGTCGTCTTCCTCAGGCCTTCGTAAAGACCCCTTTCCTGCCATGCACATTCATTATCCTGGAATGCACTTATTGTCTTAGCTGCTGTTGCGTGATGATTAGGTCGAAGAGTAACAAGCTTCCGTCCCACTTAGCCACGAGAAGTTGAGGACCAGCTTCAATCTTGCTCGATCCTCTCGGGTCCACTGCTGTGTTATTTTGCACGCTCAAACTTGCCCGCCATGGCGTGCGCCTGTCTAGTTTAATGTTTGATTGTTTTTTCGTTTTTTGTTTCCTTTCTTGTGTGAGTGAATACCATCGAAGCACTCTTTAGTCTCTACCCGTGGTGCGGATGACGCTGCCCTTCTATGCAACTCAGGTCTTTTGTTTTCTTCAAGCCTCGCTTAACTTGGCCCGCCCTGTCCTTCTTCCTGTTTTTTTTTTTTTTTTTCTTTTGCAGTCGTTAATGCAGAAGCCTTCTTGTAAGCTGGCGTGAGGTCTGCCACGACGGCGATCGCTTCGGCCCGCTTTACCTAACCGATTTTCTGGTGGTTCATTTCCAACTGAACGCTCGCTTGCTACCCCTGTGCGCCCCGACTAACTTAATCTGCTGGGCATAGCCAATTGAGAAGCGAATCAGTTCTTCTCTCAACCCTCTCTCACAGAGGGTCCTCTCTCTCAACCCTCTCTCTCTCTTCTCTTGTTGTTCACATCTCAATGATCCTTTCCTAGTTTAAGCATAGACATGATGCTGGTGGGCAAACCCAGCGGATAAATATGCGCCGAGGAGACCACACACACACACACGCGCACACACACACAAGGTCGGGTTTGCGGCGATCGCAGGATGTGCCTGTGTGACGTTCTAAAAAAAAGAAAAAAAAAATCTGATTTGAACTCTGCCGTGTGCTTTTTTTTCCTTTTCTTACCTTGTTTCCTCCTCCATCTACATCATTAGCAGGCAACTGGCTGCCATTGTCATTGCGTGCTGGCTGAGCGTGAGGGGTCTTGATTTTGATCCTTCGTTGGTGATACGGGGCTCCCTGGTTTAGAGGCTTGTGGCGACATTTTGGTTGAGAGCATCGCTGCCTTTTTTTTTTCTTTGGTTAAGGAAAGCCACTGATCTCATAGTCGACAACGTGCGCTTGGCAAACAAGTACAACTACTCGGTCCAGAACTGCTAGGTGGAGGTAAGTTGTTCGTTTTGGCGCATCAGGCGGGAAGAGCAAGGCCTGCTGACCCGACTGCGTTGGAAGCGACCGAAACCAGTCCGGCATTGGAGTAGATGACTTGGAGGGCGCTCATGAGATTGGTTGTGTTTAGAGAGACACCGTTACCATGAGTGAGGATGGATGGCAGCTGTCTGAGGCGTGTTATTTATCAGATCGAAAGGCGCTGCAGCTGTTGACCAGTTGGGACCCACAACGAATTCGCGATGCTGTCCAACACAAATATGATGTGGTACGTATGCTGTTTGTGGTGCCGTTGTGTGATATTGGTTACACTTAAATATGTCACTGGTGTGGTGACGTTATGGTACAACATGGGACATAAACTACAATGTCATGTTTGCAGACTGGCTATACACCACTGCACTGGGCCTGCTTTAAGGGCTATGACAAGGTGGTGGAGATGCTGTTGAAGCACGGTGCTGATGCTGAAGCCAAGAACATGGTCAGTACAGTACCTCCCTCTTCCCCCCCTTGACCCCCCCTATGATGGTGCACCTGTACCACATGATGATGATCATACCGATGTATCATCCCACAGTGGGTCACTACACCACTGCACTTTGCCTGCCTTAAGGGTCATGTCAAGGTGATGGGGATGCTGTTGAAGCACGGTGCTGATGCTAAAGCCAAGGACATCGTCAGTACAGAGCCTCAACTGTACCACATGATGATGATGGTGTACCTGTACATTATGCTGATGC